GTATACTTGACAAGAATAGTGAGAGAAGAAATATTCAACAAGCGAATACGTAAAGGACACGAATGTGCTTCGCAGTTATGGATTCAGCCTCTTTCGAGCTTTCTCTATATACAGCCATGCGACTGGCTACCATATAAGGACCTATACACAGCCTTGTCGATGCTGACCCACCGTTGGAACGTATCTCTTGAAACGTTTTCTGAAACCATTGATATACGCTTATCTTTCGCCTTCTTGAATCTTTCGTAATTTTTTTAATGTTATTCCTTTTATTTTGTTATAAAAATCGTTGATACTCCTTAAATCCTATAAGATTAAATGTTTTTGAATAATTTTTTATAAGTAATATAATCAAAAAATTTTTAAAAAGAAATAATTTTTTATAAGTAATATAATCAGAAATTTTTAAAAAGAAATAATTTCCAAACAAAAAGCAAATATTATTACTCATTTATTGAAGTGTAAAAAATAAATTAATGCTAAATTTCGGAGACTAAAATTTCTTGGAAAAAAATATGATAGTTTCAAATTTCAATTATTTTAAAAAGTTTATCAATTGAATAATATTAATTTTTTTATCCTAATTTTAATAAAATAATATTAAAATTTCTGAAAAATATTTCATGCTTAAAAATATTTGTTTTAACATTATTATTTAATTATTATTGAAAAATAATGAATATAAATGACAATTGATGAATATAAATAGAAAAGAAACGAAATAAAATAACATAAAAAGAAAAAATGAAAACAAACATGAATCTTTTAACTTAATAATGTATAATTTTTTAAAATAATATTAAATCAATATTATTTTATAACATTCCATATATTGAACAATATAAATTTAGCAAATCATATTCTAAATTTACTCAGGTAATGAGAATTTGAAGTGTTGATTATCAGTGCCTTAACTGGAAAACATAAAAGTACCGTGAATACTGAATTCAATATATGAACATATACTGAATCTTTCGAAATCTTTCCGAATCATTACGTATTGATTATTTTTCAACATGTATCAAAGCATTTTATTAATATTGTAAATTTATTAAACTTAATGCTTCCAAAAACATATATATATATATATAATGCAAATATTTGATAAAATATTTTTACAAACTTTTTATATTTTTTATATTTTATTAATTTTTGTAAATCTAAAAATTTGATAAAATAAATACAATATGATAAAAGAATTTGATAAATGTTTATATCAAAAAATATAATCTGTGAATATTTATAAAACTTTAGACAAGGATCCTGGTTCATAAAAATGCCGTCGTTTTAATAGAAAAATACACTAGAGGATGTGATCAGAAAGGAAATGAAAAGAAACGTGAACCGGAAATAGCAAGCTTCTTCTTCCGCTTTATACATTAGTTACTGGAGTGTAATACAAAATTTAGATAACAAATAAAATTATTTTTATTTATATTTTCTTTTGCTTTGATTTAATAATATTTTTATATTTAAATTGAGCATATCTAAACAAATACGACAAAATTGATCAATTATTATATTATTGCATTTTAAGATATTCAACATAATTATATTCAATCGTTTTTTTATTATAAAAAAAAACAAAAAATATTTAAAACACAGATGAACATTTGCGTATTCTTACATTCATCAGAAACGATGCCAATGCTATTTATTCACAATTTATAGTATTTACATCTATATTTTTTAAGTGGATCTTTCGTTTTTTATTTTTTAAAATTTAAAATCTTTGATTTTATAATTTTTATGTTTTTTTATATATAAAAAGTACATATTACGAGATAATTTTTAACATTTAAACTGAACAAGTCAAACAAGTTATGTTTCATTTATCGATATATTCCGGCGTTTCTGTCAATATGCATTGAAAGCGTCACTAAAAGCATTCGATATCGATATGTTTCTCGATAGACGTGTACACAAGTACGCGTGTCATGCTTGTGTACGAACTTCCTTCGTCTCGATGACAATTAACCGATGCATTCAACGATATTGGCAGATTCATGTTTTTTGTTATTTCTGATATGCATATCCGGTGTTTGATCATCATTGTTCAATCGAGAATAAAGAAAATAGGTTAAAAATCTGAATATATGGCGCATTCGCAGCAATACCATTGTGAAATTGCATCTTTTTTGAATTATAAGTTGTATGAATTTTAATTCGTTTCTGTCTTTCTTTCTTTTTCAAATTTATAAGTTAAATATTCTGATTAAAAAAGTATACATATAATATTTTAAAAATTCATAATTTTTAAATATCAAAAGTATCAGGAATAACTTGATCCTGTTTTGTTATGAAGATAAATATTGGAGAAACTTTTTTCATTTGGACATAATAAACAAAGACATATCATTTCTACGGACAAAACTCGACAGTTCGTTTCAGATTGCGGTTCAAGTTGTTGATGTCAGTTTTATAATTGGAAATTCTTTTAGATATCGATAATCAAACGGAACTCTGCGGAAAGAACAAAGTATACATAAGAGATTATTATTTTTGAAAATAAATTAAAAATAAATAATACTATTATAATTCCTTAAATATAATAGATTCATAAGATGTTTAAGATGTTTTTAATAATTAATAATTAATTTATTAAGGTTATGAATTAATTAATTAGATGACATATTATGAATACAATTCATAATGTCATCTAATTAATTAATGATATATGATAATGTGTTATTATTATAAACATAAAAAATTGATTGTTTCAGATTGAAGAGTACAACAAATCACCATGTCGAGTCCGTCGTTGAAAGACCTGCCAAAAGTAGCCTTAGATTTGAAAAGCGAATTGGAAGGTTTCAATCATGGCTGTATGAAAAAAGCCTCAACCGCTGAAAAAAATGTTCTACCTTCTGCTGAAGGTATAATATAAATTTCATTGCCTTTTCATTAAAATTTTTGTTGCATTATTATTTCAATGTCCTTATGATTTAATACCTATAATGTTATCAACATACAGAGTTCTAATTTCTTATAATTTGTTTCAATCGATTATAATGCATGTAATATTATAACATATAGACGTGCGACAAGAACGACAGCATTCTGAATTAATCCACGATGTGGAAACATTTAAACCAGATCAATTGAAACACGCCGATACGAAAGAGAAGATCATATTACCCAATGCCAAAGGTATTACTGCTTATTTGATTCCTAGGGGAATATTTCATTCTCAGGTTCTCTACTTCTTCCTTGGCCGGTAACAAAAGGAGGGTATTTTGTTGCTTTTGGTGCTTCGAGGTGACCGAAACATACGTGACCAAACCAAGCTTATTCATTTTCGCTTTCAGCTTAGAAGAAATTGTTTTGCATGTCCGATTATTTTGTCAGCAATTTCGTACTCTATACTATGATAACACACAATGTTATTGTCCACTTGGCGATAAAAGTTTTTTTAGATATCATAACAACAACAAAGCTTTATTGTTCCTTATTAAGGAAACAATAAAAACATATTCTATTAGCATTAATAATTTGATTCTTCTTAAGAATTCATATTGATTTATAATTTTAAATAAAATTGAATACTTACACTATTTTTAAAATAATTACATACTATAATTACATATATCACATATTGCGATGAGATCGTCTAATCACACTTGCTATAATTTCATTGGCTTCCACAGTGACCTTAACTTTCATAATTTTCTCATGTATGTTTTATTTTCCATTCTTTGACCTCCATTTACCTCTTGCAGATGTAGCTGCGGAGAAAACTCAACAAACGCTGATGTCAGGCATCGAGACATTCGACCCGAGTAGTTTAAAGCACACTGAAACTCAAGAAAAGAATTTGCTACCTGACATGGATGGTACAGTATCATATTTCACGATTTTTTATTATCTTTTATAATTTTTTGAAAAATCGAATAGAGAAAAAATTTTAATATTAAAATAATCACAAATTAAATTTATTTTTAAAGCGATCCAACAGGAAAAAGGAAAGCAACAGTTGATATCTGGTATTGAAAATTTCGATCCCGCGAAATTAAAACATGCAGAAACACTTGAGAAAAATCCCTTGCCTACCAAAGAAGGTAAGCTAAAATTTTAAACATATATATTTTTATTTTTATATATATATATACTATAATTTAGAATCATTAAAATAAAAAATAAATTTTGTATCAAAATAATATCTTTTGTTATAGCAATCGATGCAGAAAAAATAGCTGCTTAAAGCAAGCATTTAAAATAAAATGAACGGAAAAGAAAGGGAGCGGCGACTCGTCATTTCTTCCATTTTCGATATTGTGACATTTTATAACAATTATTCATACATTGTCAACAAGAAATAAGGAGAATGCGAAACACTGTGTTAATGTAATCTTATGATTATACTTATCCTACCGCCATGAGCGTCCCTTTCGGCGAGATGCACAAGTCGATTTTTACATAAAACTATTAACAACAGAACGACGATGAAGATTCAAGTCCAAATTTAATTAAAAAAAAAAAAAATTTGATAAACTTTTACAAGCCATCAATTTAATTCCTAATAAATGTTACCAGCAATAAATAACTTTGGACTTGTATCAACATCTGTCTTTAATACTAACTCGCCAAAGGATGTACTTTTTATACTAAGAAAACTGCACGCAAGCAAACATTATTTTCGATAGCAACAAAATTGGTAGCATTGCATGCGTTACAGAATATCGCAATGGTACAGCGGTTGACTTTATATTTGTGTAAAAATCATATTTTATATAACAGGCTATTGTACTTTTTTAATATTTCGTACACATCGCATTGTCATTCCGATAAAAATTATGATGAATAAAAAAAAGTAATTTGTAAGAAAGTCTATTGCTTAAACCTATTTTATTATATTTTATTATATGCATATTAATTAAATTTACATATAAAAGAATATTTTAATGACAAATATTTACTATACTTTATCCTACAAAATACGACTTTCGAACACTCGCGCGAAAATGTAAACAAAGGAAATGTCTATAATTGAAATTCTTAGTAGTGGTAGTCTTCTTGGGAGTCCTTTTCTGACGAAACTAATTCCAAAAGTACCAAATAACGGATCATGATTGGTTGATAAGTTCTTTTCGTCCAATAGTTTTGAAGAAATCGATTCTATTAGTAACTAATGAAGGAGGACCTGTTGCTAGTCCTTGGTAGCCATGCTAAAACTTTAACTGTAGAGTAACAGTTAAAAATTTTCTTGTAACTGATAACTTTCGATTGAAAGAATTCCACCACGCATTAATCATTTGTCTTCAAACAGGTACAATTATATTTACAATCAATTTTTTTTCTTTTATTTTTGCGAAGTAGCGATTCACGATTAACAATAAGGACAAGATATGTCCTTTCATGTTTTTCAAATATATGAAATTATTATTATTTTAAATCAATGATAATTTTGAAAAATCTCGAATTATATTAATATATTATATTTATAATTAATGTATTGATATATTAATATGTTTATTAAAAATACAAATGATTCGAATTTTTGACAAAAAAAGAAAGATAGTTTCATTGTTTTCTTTAGTGGCAAAAAATGGAAATATCACCTAGAAAACCATCAAAACGTGCACAAGAACCTATTGACGAATGGTTACAGAATGAAGGATATTTTAGAAAACATGCACCTAGAGATCCAACTTGCTTATTCAGAGCAGTTAGTGAACAAGTTTATATGACACAATATTATCACATTAAAGTTAGAAAAGAATGTGTGGAATTTATGAGAAAAATGAAACATTTATTTATAGAGGTGAATATATTATATTTGATTAGTGTTTAATTAATATTAATGTAAAAATTTCAAATTTTATATATATTTTTACAGAGTATAACAATTCCATTTGATGATTATCTGGAACAAATGACATGTTTTACTGAATGGGGAGGTATGATTGAGATTCAAGCTATGTCATTACTTTATAAAAGAGAATTTATTATATTTAATGGTCAAAAACAAATTAGTCGTACTGTTACTAATAATGGTTTCAAGGATGTGATATATTTATGCCATACTCCACAAAAACAATATGAAAGTATTTACACAAGAAACTTTGTTGCAAATGCTGCTTATTGTCAATGTAGGTATTTTATAGTATTATTAATATCTCTATAAATAATATAAATAATATTACAATAATATTTTAATAATTATTTATAGCTATTGTTTATCAAATATTATACAAAGATGTCTTTCAAATGGCTAATATAGAGGCTACTGTACATAAAATGTTACATGATAGAACAGCTTCATTTAGACATGATAAATTTTTCCTTAAAGGCAATCTGGAAATTAGAGAGTAAGTCAAATAATAATTATATTATTAATATATGATTCATAATGATACATAAGTGTAATTTCATCATGTTTAGTCAATTAACTGCAGAGATATATAACAAAGTTGGAAATGAAAATGTTAATGATGAAGTTGATGATGTACATGGTATAATAAAAAATATACCACCTTTTCCTTATAGAATTGCCAAAGCTCTTGATCCCAATATTTATCGTAATACAGATTTTGATATATGGCATGAAATTAGAAGGGGTAATAAAAATTTGTTATTAAAAATAAGAGATTAAAAATATTACATGATTAAGAAAAAAATGTATATATCTTTCTATATACTCTAGAAGTGAAAAATGCAGGATGGACTAGGCACAATAGTCATGAACTCCAAATTGGTGGCAAATGTTTGGTACAAATAGACTTTAATGAAGAAGATTTTGACAAAACCAATAATAATAACGTCTATGTGTCTTCTCTTGAAAAAGATTCTAATGATAATAATACAAATGTATTGGAAAAAAAAAGCAATAATCTAATATTTTATTATGGACACATTCAAGAAATGAGTAAAAATCAGGGACCTGTATTAGTTTTTATTGAAGAATTAGGAGAAAAAAGGATTGTACCTTATTCTGCTCTTAAACCATTACCTCCAAAGAAAAATAAAATGGCTAATTGGTTACCAGTTTGTAAAAAGAATCTAGTTTTAGATTCAAGTTAGTTAAACTTAATAAAATTTATATGTAATATTTTTTTACAAATTTTCATATTTTCTTGTCAAATATTTATTTTTTATTTTAATAGATCAAAAATGGAAAAAAACATGCAATACAACACCACGAAAAAGTAAAGAATCTAATATAAATATTTTATCAAATAATATTGATAAAAATGAAAGTAACGATAATATTATTAATAATATTAATAAAAATAATTTTGATTGGGAAGAAGGATCATTGTAAGTAGTTTATTATATTAATTAATTACTTAATTTTTTTAACTTTAATCTCTATCTATAATATAAATTTGTTTTGTTACAGAAAAATAGATCATCAAGAATATCAAGAATATGAAAATTATCCAATAGAAAAATGTCCAAATTATTCCATGAATGTAAGTTATAATAAAATATATATTTAATTATTATATATATATTACATACGTGTAAATCATTGTAAAATGTTCCTTTTATAGAATTCTGTTGATATGTTCTCTGCAAGAATGATTCATGATGATACTCAGTCTTCTACAGTAGATAATAGAGGACAAGAAAATAATAAAGAACACAAAGAAAAAAATTCATTTTCATATAAAAATTCTGAAAATACATTTTTAAGAAATTCAAAGTCAAATAATGTAACAAATGATAATAATGCAGGTTTTAATTCATATTCCAAACAAAGAATGCAAAAGGAAGTATATTATTCACCATATGCTGGTATGTAATTAATTAGTAGATAAATTATTATTATTAATTCCATATTATTCAATATAAATTATTCATGTTTTTTTCATTATATATTAATAGATTCTGCTCAAATGGATCATATGTTACGTTCTATTAATTGCTCTGTAGAAAAAAGTATAGACATAAATGGTAGTGACTTGCCACTATCAGGTAATAATTATTTTTTTTATCATATGACTTGATAAATGAAATTTATAAATAATATTGTTTTTGTATTCTTATAGATCCATTTACTTTGAGATTTTTTTATAATTTAGGATTAGAGGTAGGATTTTACACATTATTATATATTAATTTCTGTTTATATGTTATTTATTTATTTCAAAATATTTGATAGTATTTCCGTGGTGGCGCTAATTGGAATTATTTAACAAATGGACAATCGCCAGGTTTTGGTCAATGGTATCAAGGTATATTATCTCACTTATATTATTAATTATGTTAATTTTTAATTATTTATATATATATATATGTATATTTATTATTATTTATTTATTTAAAAGAAATACCTTCGAATGAGGAAGAAATTACAAATATTACAAATGATATGATGCAAGCTTGTGCATTGACACAACAAAAAAAGGAGCATATCAATGATCGAAAAGAAATTAGTTTACAATCATTATGCCAAGAAAATGGAGATCAATATGTGAATGGTATAAAAAATATGCAGATTCAAAAAACTGAGACTACATCATGTCTACCTCGTGATAAAATAAAAGAACAAGAATCTATGAATAAAGAATCTTCTCGTTTAAGTAGAAATGGAGGTCCACGATTTAAAAAAAATTCAGAGAGTAAGTAACAAAATTTATGAATAATTTTTTTCCGCATAATTTTAATAAATATTAATTTTTTTACATAGATCGACATCGATCTACTTCACATTTTTCTAATCAATATGCAAACAATGGACCAAATTCTAAAATGCTTAAGTCAGAAAGGGATACAAAAGAAGATAATATCAATATTCAACATTCACACTCTATACATCATCAAGTACACAATTCTGCAAATGCATTAAATACTTATCAAGCATCTTATATGCAACAAAGCATGTATTCCGGATTACCGTATTATGCAAATGAGACAGAAGCATTTGCGAATCCTTATTATTCTTTGAATCCAGGTTTTGTCTCAATCCCGTGTTTACCACATTCCGATATACATGATAATAGTAATGCACAAACTTTCCCGCCGCATCTATGTCCTGGAATAGATTATTCTCAAGCTTATTCCGGTCTATGTCCACCATACCTATGTCCCTCTCCAAATCCATTTAATTTACCGCTGCAAAATTTACCGGAACACTGGTATGCAGTTGCTGGTCAACCGCATTATATGCCATATGCACCTGTATTATCCGTAACTGCAGAAACAACTTGCAATGGAATACAAAATATTAATCAGAATATTTCATCTTAAAAATTATTTTGCAGTTAACATATATTAAACAATCAAATTTTCATCTAACAATATTCTTTCATATAGAATAATTCATTAAACTCTATGGAGATATACATGTAAGAATGTTCTTATTATTTCTGTATAATTAACTTACTATTAAATAATTATACATTAACATAGAAATATGAAGATAACTCCTTACAAAATCTAAAAAGATTATTATTAACTATATTATCTATTCTTATAATATTAAAAACCACTCATAATTATATAGAGATTATAAAAAAAACTTTACAGTAAACTTAACTTTATCTATTTAAAAATATCACATATATAATATTACAAATTAAAGTACAAAAATATTTGATTTAGGTTTTGTAATAATTAATACAATAAATAATAATAGTATAAATTATTTATCTTAAATATAAATAGTTGAAATACCTGTATAATTACACTCAATAGATTTTCCATTCGATATAGCTTTGTTACTATACATTGATTAGTCAAATTGCAAATAACAAATACTTTTCTAAAATTTTACATGAGTAATGTTTTTCATTACAGATTTAATCGTTCATATTTCTGTACTTCGTTTGTTATAATATATATATATATATATATTTTGCTAATAAATAACTATGTTTAAATAAAAGGCAATATTTATTCTATACTTTTATTTATATAAAATAAAGTAAGTATATATTTTCACTTTTTTACTATACAATTCGAATTAAATGCTTCTTTTTTACATTAGTGCCAACTAGATAGATAGATAATAAACAAATGTCACTAGATACATTTTATATAATTGAAATACTTACTTTTATATTTAACATAAAAGAAATTTAATAAATGTGTGTAATTGAATTAATATAAAAGATTTATAATCTTTAATTTGTTTGAATATTATTAATATTATTATTTATTTGAGATAATTATGTTTGGATCAGTCTTAAATATCCGCCATTGAACGGGCACAGTTATAAACCGGTGAAGAAGGTGCGCGCTCGAGATCTTTCAATATACAAACACCGTGGTTCTGTTCGCTGTATTCCACGCCATGACTAAAATTTGTTGGAAGAGTAGGAGTGCAGGAGCTGTGACAGGTCAAACGGTGAATAGCGAAATTACTTAATGTTTACTCGATAAAAGGATTTCTTGTATCGAACAACATTGACAGATTTATCCTCGGTTCATTATTTCTGTTTCGTGAATTATTGTTAGCGGCGAAGATTTGCTATTTTCGTAGGAACTGCAGAACTTAGAAGACAAGAGGAGAGCAAGCGCAGAAACTAAAAAGAATGGAGGTTGGTTATGATTAATTATTTCGAAATTAATACCTATATGATCGATAACACTGTATATTCTGGAAACGCGATATACATACCCTGTGTCATCTTACTCTTGAAAAAGGAAACATCTATTGTTGTTTCTAATATATTTGTTATTTTTATTTTAATTGAATAATAAATTAATTAATTATATAGAATATATGCATATTTGTCTCGCGTTTTATTTAGCATTATACGGCAACTATTTTTATTATTTTTGATTAAATAAAATTTTTATAATTTACTTATATATTTATATTTGTTATATAAATATATAATATAGTGCAATAAATTAATTAGTTATATCAAAAGATTATTTAATTAATATAATTCTCATAAAAATTAATTATATTTATACACATTTATATATATAATATTTTAATAATAAAATAAATAGTGTTTATATAATAAATATTATTTATATTTTGTATATACAATATATTTTTATACTTTGTGTTTATAGGTGGATGAATGTTCAGCTGGTGGTGACAGTGGAGCCGAAGAAGATGAAGATGATGCATCTTCTCATGGATCTAGAAGCAATAGTAGTACTAGCAGTATCAGTGGAAGCAGTACTTCAACTGATAGTGGAGATGATAGTGGAGATGAGCATGGTACAAGTGGCACTGAAAGTCATAGTTCTGGTGAAGAAGATGAAGAAGAAAATGAAAATACAGAATATTCTGTTAAAGCAGAAAGTCCAGATACTTTGGTACTGTTTAAAATTTCATTGTATAAATTATATAATTTTTTATTAATAAAAATTTCATTTTTAGAAATGGGAAACATGTATTGCTGCAAATACTAAGATAAAATTACCACAAGATCTTTGTGAACATGCAGCTATTTTTAAAGAATTTTTGGATTATCCTTATATTTGGAGTGAATGCCTTAATGAAAGTCAAAAGGATACTTTGTGCAACTTTTTGCCAACTTTTCCGAAAGATTGTGATGTAGAAGCAGAAACCAAGAAAACTTTACGCATGTTATTTGAACATGAAAATCACAGGTTAAAAATTATTTTTAATAAATTTTCAGAAATTAAAAATTATTTTAATTCAATTTTTTACATTTATTTAATTTAGATTTGGTGTGGCACCTCTAGATGCTTTTCAAATTCATTTGTCTGCTGGTCATTATCGACCAGATATTAGAAGAATGTGTAGTTTAGTACATAAGGCACAGCAAAGAAGATTGTTATTTGAAGAACGTAAACGATCCTATGAATTGGCCAGTCAATTATTAAAATCCAGAGAAAGCTTGTTGTCTAACGCCTACAAGCAAGGTTTCTGTCAGCCGACGCAACGAACGATGTCAAAAATACAATGGAGGAAACCAAAACCTGCTATGGGTAAGTTAGGCTACTGCTGTGATTAATTGTAAAAAATTTTCTGGCTGTTTATACTTCCCCCACACTCCAGCCGTTTGGCAGAGAAGTATGTAGTAACTTCCGAGGGACAATACTAACAAGCAATGAACCGACAGTTGAAGAGAAAACGCAACTGCGCTATTTGGAGGAACTGAATGCACTGAGGACAGAGCTTGGAGCAAGCACAAAGTTAGCGACCGACACAACATCTGAGAACGAGGAGAACTATCCCCACTATCAAATGTCTGGAGCTAAGCAGAAGAAGAAGAGACGTTCTCTCATGGGAGCCCAAGGACTGTCCATTCGGGGTTTGCAAATAAATCATGAGGATGAAACTATTCGACCTGTTTTCTCCACACTGCAACGAGCAGAATATCCTACGAATAGATCGTTATTTATTCGTGAACAGACAGAGGAGATGTATCGCGAAATGCTACTCGAACATAAAAAGAGAAGAGCTCGGCGAGATGTATGTGAAGTAATTTTTGAATATGTGCGAATAAGAATTCGGATATTATTAAAATGTTAATATTTGTTATATTTCTCTAGATTCATCCAGAATTAAATACACAAGGTATCGCTCTTGCTGATTTAACTCAAAGAGCACAAATTGGGCAGAAGCACAAATTATTAATCGGTCCTTCGATACGTATCACTCCAGCAAAGAAACGAATAAAATTAGAACAATCACCACTTTGTCCACCAGCACCAAGATTAATGAATTCTAATTCGATAAAACATGAAAGTGATAATAGTGATTATTCTCATACAACAGATGAAAACAGACATTCCAGTACATTGGATATAGATCATAAGATGTTAACACCAATTAAATCAGAACCTATAGATTCATACGAGATGCATCAAATATCTAAGAAGAAATTAAGTCCTGCTACACCAAAAGGTAGCAAATGTTCTATGATAACTACTCCAGAAATAAAAAAAGAAGTGGAAGATATGGAATATGATGACATAAAAACGGAACTTAGTACAGGAATGAATGACGATATTCCTCCAGAAACAGAAGAAGAAGAAGAAAACGATAAAAAGCTTGATTTAGATAGCATTGATATGATGCAACTTCCTATACAACTTGATGATGGAATTGACATATTGGACGATGTAAAATGCGAAGATGAAAGAGTTATATCAATACCAGATAAAGAAATTACAGTTCCAAGTAACGAAGAAACTATTGATATCAACAATGGAGCAGAATTAATGCAAGAAACACATGTTTGTTTTTTCTCGCTATTAAGAGATGCGTTCACCTCAAAAGGTGAATATAGAATGAGTACAGGAGAAATGAAGGAAGCTATTACACAGTGGCAAGGAAATCCTATTTCGCCGTTAAACGATTGGTATTCCTTAGCATCCTCTTGGCCAGCATTAGTTCCATTAGCTTTGGGATTTCTAGCTGGTGAACTCACATATTCTCAAGAAATAGATCGACAAGAAAGAGAATCAGAGCTTGTTCCTTACTTAGAAAACAAGGAAATGGAGTTTATGCGTGGATTGGTGCTGGACGAGACTCAGACTCTCGTCTATTGGACTTGTGTACGAAATTTTTAATGCACAAAGATTCATTAGGCCTATCAACTGCAACTAGTACTTGCTCTCTAACAGTTGCAAAGCAACAAAATCAAGTGCCTCTAGGTAGTAGCAGCAATGTTAACAATAATTCTGGAAATGGAAATACAAATTCGAACGCCAGAGATTCTAGTCCAGCGATAGAATCGATTAGTGTCGACAGTGGATCCATTAATACTGTTGCAGAATGGGAACCACCTCGTGCTCTATGGCCTACGGAATGGAAAGTTCGACCATCTACGGTGGAAGAACGAGAAGAATTTAGGAGGCAAGAGCGTATGCGTTACGCTGCACCTCATAAAGCATTTACGTACAGAATGCATGGTTATGCCTCTGTTGTAGGTCCAGTGAAAGGCATTTATCAACATAATGTTGGTATGTTCGATTGTACAATTTTTTATTAAAATATATATCATATACAATAAAAAAAATTAACCATATATATATATATATGTGTGTGTGTGTGTATGTGTGTGTATGTACATATTATTGAATTCTTGTAATAGCTTCTGGTTTAACCAAGGCTCGCGGACACTCATTATTGGTAGCAGACAGACCAAATTTTGTGACGATCTTAGCCTTAGTCAGAGATGCTACTGCAAGGCTTCCCAATGGTGAAGGAACTCGAGCTGACATTTGTCAGTTACTAAAAGATTCCCAATATATTCGAGAACAAACAGAAAGCGATGATAAAGAAGGATATTTACATTCTGTGGTATCGGGGG